CGTCCCCCGGCGACGCGCTCCAGGGTCTGGCCCGGCGTGGGGGGAAGGGTCGGAGCGGGGAGCAGACCTGGGAGGCGGTGGCTGCCCCCTGGAAGTTGAATTCCGGGCAGTGGGAACAGGCTCAGCCTTGCTTCCCGCTGATTAACAAATAGCCCTGGCAGGTGTGGCTCCGTGGTTGAGCATCAACCTATGAGCCAGGAGGTCAGGGTTCGATTCCCAGTCAAGGGCCCAGGCCTGGATGGCAGGCTCCATCCCCAGTGGGGGCCGTGCAGGAGGCAGCCGACCCATGATGCTCTCTCATCAGTGACATTTCTCTCTCTCTCTTTCTCTCTGATATCAATAAAAGTATATTTAAAAAGCGCTTTCCTCCCACATCAGGGCTTTCCTGTGGCCACCTGGCTGCGCCCACGTTCACTCATGCTGTTCACTCCGGCGCGGGACGGGGTGGAGGGCGAAGGGACGGGACGGGGCGGGAACTGGCCTTTCCCGGCGTTTCCTGTCATTAAACCGGGTGACGGGACCGTTTCAGACTCAGCCCCCACGCACGTCGCAGAGTCCTCGGGGGGACCCACGGGGACACGGGCAGTCTCCCCCGACCCTGAAAGTCGCTGTGACATCCTAGGGAAGAGTCCTTGGGAACACGAGGCCGGTGGACGTGCTCGATAGAAAGAACTCTCTGTCGTCCCTAAACTCTGATATCTGGCTTTGAACTTGAAAAGAACCGTGAACGCTGACTCCAAAGAGGCCTCTGAGAAGCAGAAAACTCAGTCGGTCCTTTGTCTGGGCTGCTGCCCCCGAGTGGATGGCGGTGGTGGGAGCGCCGGACACATAGCCGCTGGGAACGGCCTGTTCAAAGGACCTGGTGCACCTCGCTGACCCGGGGAAGGACGCTTCAAAGGAGGAAATCGCCAGGAGCAGATGTCCCCTCGGAGCCTGGGGGGGAGCATGGGGGATGGAAGGGGGGCCCTGAGCCCTGCGGCATGTGGGGCGCAAACAGGCCTTTCCCACGCTCCTCCATGCACTGAGTCCCATTATTTACTTGTTTCCCTCGTTCTCCCACTCACAGCGACAGGACGTGCTGCACTTGCCCAGTACTTCTGCTTAGCGGGGCTTCTTGGAACGTACAAGCTGGTGTTTGCCTCTCGTGAGTGGGACTGAGATGAACACAGAGGCACCCTTTTGTCGTGTGGACCTACGTTTGGATTTCTGTGGGCATCCGTGAGATGCCCAAGAGTGTGATTCCGGGGTCCAAGGGTACAGCGCAGAAAGGAATGCTTTAAAAAAAAAAAAAGATTTCATTGATTTTGTACAGAGAGGAAGGGAGAGGGATAGAGAGTTAGAAACATCCATGAGAGAGAAACATCCATCAGCTGCCTCCTGCACACCTCCTTCTAGGGATGTGCCCGCAACCAAGGTACATGCCCTTAACCTGGGACCCTTCAGTCCGCAGGCTAATGCTCTATCCACTAAGCCAAACCAGTTGGGACAGGAATTCTTATTTTATTATTTTTTGGGGGGGATTCTTATTTTTAAGCGAAGAGCTGACACACTGCTTCCCGGAGCCGGTGAGCCATTCTTCATGCCCACCGGCAATGCCAGGGATCCGGCTTCTCCGTTTGGTGCAAGAGCCACACTCAAGAGGCCAAAGAGCCGCATGAGGATCACGAGCCACAGTGTGCTGACCCCTTCACCAGTCTGCTTGTGGCCGGGACTATTGTGAAAGCTGCCATGAGAGTCCAGATGGATCCCTCTCACAGGTGACGTCTAAAGAAGTCTGAGAGCTCCCGCTCAGAAGCACAGGTACGAATGCTGAGGGATGAGGAAATGCCGTTCCACAAGTCTTTCTTTCCCCGGGCAATGGGCTCTCCTAAACAATTGTGAATAGAGAGGCCCGGTGCACGGAATTCGTGCAGGGCTCGGCCCTCGCAGCCCCTCAGAGCCTCGGCTTCGTCAGGAAGGTCATCCAGACGGTGGCCTGGCAGGTCACCCGGGTGCTCTTTCTGCTGTTCGGTCTACTTAGCAGAGTAACTCTTTATTATACACAGAGTGGCCAGAGGATGATGATCTCTGAATGCATAGTAATCCTGCCACTCCGTGTCTATCCTATAGAATAAAAGGCTAATATGCAAATTGTCCCCTGGACCAGGAGTTCAACCAGCAGGCAGGCTGGCCAACCGCCCATGTCCCGTCCCCCTGGCCAGGCTGGCCGGACCCCGCCCATGCACAAATTCATGCACCGGGCCTCTACACACACACACACACACACACACACACACACACACACACACACAGTGGCCAGATTATTATGTGTTCAGAGATCATCATCATCTGGCCACTCAGTGTATAGGATAATCAGTTATCTGATGTCTTATTTCTTCATCTGTGTTCCCGTAAGCCAGGTTATGACCCATGCTCTGAAATTAAAAAAACAAACAAAAAACACCCAACCTAGCCCACTTCTGATGAAGAAATCAAATCTTTATTTCTAGGATGTTAGCACAATATACTCACACAATAGCTTCGATCTGTACTTAACAAAATACATTATAGCACTTTACAAACTTTATCGGCTTGGAAATCACTGCGTAACGCTTTATTAAACACGATACTTTGATATATATATATATTATATATATATTTCCATAACTTTATTTACTTTAAAAAGATAATTAACTCTCTTGGTTCGATACTTGGTTTTCTCAGGAAAGCACAGCCTTAGGGCTAAGGGAGGAACAGAGCACTGGAAGGGAGGGCACCACCTGTCGGTCTCACCTATTCTACGTTAAGGTACCATGGAATGTAAACAATTTTTTTTGTTAATTATTACTATCTTTTTTTTTTAACAAAAGGTGTGTTATCAAATACACATGCAGAGGTCTGAGTTCTCGCGGCTGTGGTTGGATTTCCTTAACCACGTGGTACAACTGAAGTCTTTAAAAACGGTCGCCTTTGGCACTCGGAGTAGAAAAAGAAAGTATCCAGATCTATGTAAAGAACAAAACGTCAGTGACAAGAGAAGTTCTTTAAAATCTTCTGCCGAGAAGAAGGGAAGATTAGGAAACACCGCACTGCGCCGGAAACTGGTGTGTGTGTGTGTGTGTGTGTGTGTGTGTGTGTATGTGTGCGTGTGTGTGTGCATGTGTGTGTGTGTGAGTGTGTGTGTGCGTGCGTGTGTGTGTGCATGTTTTATTTCCTCAGAGTACTAAAACCTTGCTCCCTAGGAACCAGCAAAAGCCAGGTGGGCCGGGATGGGGGTGTCGGGGAGAAGTGGGCAAGGCAGTGTCTGGTTCCCACTCCGAGAAGGAAGTTTCCAGAAGGGAGGGAGGGAACCTGTGTTTATTGCCAGAGTTTTCAGTTCTGCTGGTTTCGGCTGAGTCCCTAAGCTCCAGGAGGCGGGCGGCTCCCGGAGGCTCCCCCTTCCTCGCAGGAGGTGGTGATGACGGGCACTCTCTTCTCTAGACAAGGCCTCTGGCGGGCGGGCCTGGGGGTGCTGGGGGCCCCGGGCGGCCATGCGTGGAGGTGAGGATTCCTGACAGACCCAAAGCCCGCTTTCTGCCTATGAGAGACGGCGCAGGGCGCACCTCAGCACGCTGAGCTTTCCTGTTCTGACGGGTGATGCTGTTTCCGGAAAGGCCCACTCAGGACAGAGAGCAGCCACTGCCGCGGGCACACCCAGCACCAGGACGGGGCCTGTCTAGACGTTTTAAAGAAATCCAGCCTCCTGTATCCAGGGAGACCCTCTGGGTACCATCTGCATCTGTCTCACCTTCTTCCTGTCGGTGTCGAGTGAACCAAGAGGAGGAAGAAGGTGGAACCACCGGTGTGGCCCTAGGCTCCTGGCTGTGAGGACGTGGGAAAGGTAGCAGCCGGGAACTAGCAGGCATTCTCGGGTTACTTGTCCAGAGAGCGGCCGAAGCCGGCCGGCAGTTCTGGCCCCAAGGTCAAGTGTGGTTCAGGGTTCTGGTTCATAAATTCACAGCAGTACCTGCATGTGTTTCGCTCAAGACAGGTCAGTAGGTTGTTTTCGCTTTAAAAACAGAAGAGCGTATTTATGACGTCAAAAAAAAATATCTACAGAAAATCAATAAATAAAGGACAAGCCGTAACACACCGAGTGGGATCGCAACCATGCCAAAGGTCTGCCTAAAACAAGGGGTTTGTAAGGGATGCGGGTGTGCTCACGGGCAGCCGGATTCTCCACCGGCAGTGCCTACGCCTAAATAAAAAGCATGCCGCAAAGAAATAAAAGGGACGCACCAACGCACGTAGCGATTCCCTTCTACGGAAAACACACCACGTTGCTGCTGCCGTGGCAGAAAGCGTAATTTTGAAGGAAAACACGCACCAAACCTTTGCATGTGTGGCCTGTGGCAGCCCCTGCGGGGAGCTGCGGGCTGTCCCGTCTTCTGCCCCAGGGGCATTTCTGCCATGAGGACTACACACCATACTGCACAGATCCCCGCGGTAGAACGGGGGGGGAGGGGGCGGGCGGGGGTGAGAGGGGGTGACGTGGGAGATGGACTCCCAGCCAGCACCCTCACGGGGCGTGGGGTGCGATGCTGCTGGATGGATATATAAAACCGCGTGGCCTGGGCCTGGGGGACCGGGTCCTGGGTCCCCACTGCTAATGAGAAAGAGGGGGGGAGGGAGGGGATCCCCAACGTTGGCACATTCAGGAGGTGACACAGTACACAGGGCGGGCCACCGCTGTCTTCTGAGCTGGCCATCTGCAGAGCGGCTGAGCCTGGGGCAGAGCCAGGTCCTCGCCTTGTGCTTCTCCCTCCCCAGGGGTGTGTGTGGGTGGGGGGGACCCCGAGTGCTGAGGGGAGCCCTTCCCACCGGTGCATGAGGAGCTGCTGCAGGAGGAGCCAGTCTGATGCGAGGCTACCTCCCCGCCCCATCTGCAGGGACAGGGCGCCAGGAGAATCAAGGCTGGTCCGTCTTGGGGGTGGGTGGGTCTTGGGGGCGCCCGGGGTCCCCCGCCCGGCGGCCCGGCGCCCTCAGTCCTTGTAGGCGCGCGTGGGGGACGTGCCCTTGTAGAAGATGTTCCGCGTGTGCTCGGGGCTGCCGCCGCGCTCGGGGATCAGGATGATGTTGCCCTTGCGGCGCAGCGTGGAGTCGCGCGAGGAGGACACGGACAGCGTCTCGGAGCCGCCCTCGCTGCCCTCCACGGGGGTGACGCGGATGGTGGCCACGCCGTGGTGGTGGAGGTGGTGCAGGTGCTCGCCGCCGCCGCCGCCCTCGATGTTGCCGCGCGGCCGGTCCGCGGCGCCGGCGGAGAGCCCGTCCCGCAGCGACTCGCAGCTCTCCGAGTCCCGGTTCAGGTCGTTGAGCTCGTAGGTCTGGCGGAGGAGGCTGGCCTTGTCGGGCGCCTTCCACTTCCAGGAGCCGCTGCCCTCGCCCTCGGTGGACGCGGGGATCTGGATGACCGGCCGGCTGTTCTCGGGGTGCGCCTCCACGCGCACGATGCCGCCGCCGCCGCCGCCGGGCTCCAGCTCCGCCAGCGCCTTGTAGCGCAGCGAGCCCGCGGCGCAGGGCTCGGCGCCCGCCGCCTGCAGGCCCTGCTGCTTGGACATGGCGATGACCTGCATGATGCGCGGCTGCCCGCCGCGGCCGCGCGCCACGCTCTTCTCCGCCGCCTTCAGCCACTTGGCGCGCGCGGAGCCGCCGCGCGGGGAGGCGGCGCCGGCCTCGTGCGCCTCCTCGGGGATGTGCACGAGCTGCGAGGAGCCGGGGCGCGGCTGCAGGGACACGCGGGGCCCCCCGGGGCCGCCGCTGTTGCCGGCCGGCCCGGCGCCCGGCTGCACCTTGAGGTACGACGGGGCGCCCGGGCCGGGGTGCTCGCCGTTGGCGCCCACGCGCGCGGGCTCCGAGCCGGAGCGCAGCTCCACGGCGCGCGGCGGCGACTGGCCCGGCTCGGCCTCCAGCACCTGCAGCGCCAGCTTGCGGCCCTCGTTCTTGCTCTTCCACTGGCTCAGCAGCTGCTTGGAGCGCGCCGAGTCCATGGACGCGTGGACGCTGGCGTGGCGGCGCGCCGCGTCCTCCCCGGCGCCGGCCCCGGCCCCCGCGGGCGCGGCGCGGGGCAGCGTGTTGCTGAAGGTCACCAGCCCCTCCTTGCCCCGCGGGCTGCGCGGCGTGATGATCTCCACGTCGGCGGCGCCCGCGCGCTGCAGGCCGGACAGCGCGCCGGGGTCGCGGGCCGCGCGCGCCAGGAGCCCCTCGGTGTGCGCCACGCCGTCGCAGGCCCCCGCCTTGGCCGCCAGCGCGCGGCCCGCGTCCGGGGGCAGGTCCGCCCGCGCGCGCAGCGCCTCCCGCTGCTGCAGGCTCTCCTCGCTGGGCAGGAAGTTCCCCACCGCGTACAGGCCCTGCGGGGGGGGGGGGGGGGGAGGACAGTGAAGGCGGGGAGGGGTGAATGCGGGGAGGGGGGTGAATGCGGGGAGGGGGGTGAATGCGGGGAGGGGTGAATGCGGGGAGGGGGGTGAATGCGGGGAGTGGGTGAATGCGGGGAGGGGGTGAATGCGGGGAGGGGGGTGAATGCGGGGAGGGGATGAATGCGGGGAGGGGATGAATGCGGGGAGGGGGTGAATGCGGGGAGGGATGAATGCAGCGGGACAGGAGGCCACTGGGAGCCCCCCCTCCCCCCCCAGGACCCCTGACCACATCAGGAGGTGCACGCTCTGTGCGCCGCAGACTAACACACACCCAGAAACAAGGAAAGCCAGTTACTGGGGACCCAGTTACCGGGGGAATGAATAGTGAGCAAGCTGTATTGCAAGCCACAGACTGTCAGAAACATGGATCCCTTGAGTTTTAAACATGTTGTTGGGGGGGTTAATCCTCACCCGAGGATGTTTTTCCACTGATTTTGCGAGAGTGGACGGAGAGGGGGAGACACAGAGAGAGACATCCGTTGCCTCTCCAGCCTGGGCTGGGTTTCCAGCTGCAGCCGAGGTGCGTACCCTTGGCCCATAGTGAGAGTTGAATAACGTGCTCGGCTGGAATTGGGCTGTGTGCTTTGGGTTAGAACGGAGAGGCAGCCGAAACCGGTTTGGCTCAGTGGTAAGAGCGTCGGTCTGCGGACTGAAAGGTCCCAGGTTCGATTCCGGTCAAGGGGATGTACGTTGGTTACGGGCACATCCCCGGTGGGGGGTGTGCAAGAGGCAGCTGGTCAATGTTTCTCTCGCATCGACGTTTCTAGCTCTCTATCTCTCTCCCTTCCTCTCTGTAAAAAAAAATCAATAAAATACATATTAAAAAAAAACAAAAAACCAAAAACGGAGAGGCAGCCAGGCTATGTGCCATGAACAGAAACTACGCGTTAGGTAACTCTCCACCGTGGAACCCAGCCTGTGCGGGTTCTCGGTGTCAGACGCTGGCTTATCCCGCAAGGACAGCGAGCCGCTCACCAGGTACAGCGCGATGCCCCCTCCGAGCAGGAAGCCGCAGTACACGTCCACGGGGTGGTTCTTGTACTGCGTGATGCGCGTCAGCCCGCAGAGGACGCCGCAGATAATGAACGTGAACACCAGCAGCGGCTTCAGCAGCTTGGAGGAGTCCGTCAGCGTGGAGTTGAAGTACATCTGACGCACGGAGGGGAGAGGTCAGGCAGGGGAGGGAGGGCGTTTTCCTACGACATTATCTATACACACGGAGTGGCCAGATGGTGATGCTCTCTGAACGCATCATCATCTGGCCACGCCGTGTCTGTCCTAGAGAACGAAAGGCTAATATGCAAATCGTCCCCTGGACCAGGAGTTCGACCCGCAGGCAGGCTGGCCAGCCGCCCATGTCCCCTCCCCTGGGCCAGGCCCCTAGTCCTCTATAATGAAAGGCTAATATGCAAATTGTCCCCTCAATCAGGGGGCAGGGCCAGCCGGCCGACCACCCGTGGCCCTGCCCCCCCAGAGCGGCCCCATCGGGGCAGGCCAGCGGACCCCACCTGTGCACGCATTCTTGCACTGGGCCTCTAGTTTGTCCTCGTTCCAGTTCATCTGTCTTATGAACCGGTGTATGAATGAGCAATGAGGGCAACTCATACTAGAGCACTTGAACCATCGACACTGACTCAGAGCTCCCAGTTACAGGAACAAAGCAGCGTGCGTGGGTGCGTGCGTGCGTGCGTGCGTGCGTATAGATGTAATGGGTGCTTTCAGTTTTAGAACATACGGCCTCCACGCAGCCCACAGCCCTCTCTCATGGAGCCCACTGTTCGGCTCAGGGATGCCAGGCCCAGTGGGTAACACGGCTGCCTCTCACCCCGTCTCTAGCAGCCCGGGTTCCTGCTCTCGGGGCCGGTGTCCGAGGACGCCTGGCTGCAGCCGCTGCTCTGTCGTTCCCCGGGGGCATGATGGACGGGGGAGAAAGGCTCGCTGCTGCCTTCTCTGGGGCACAGACCCCCGAGAAGCACCCGTTACTCACCGACACGTACACGGCGGCAAAGGCGGCGAGGGTGGCGTGCTGGGACGGGAACGACTTCCTGCCGAAGGAAGACAGCCCGTTACGCCTCTGTCTCAGACCCACCGCCCGGCCAGCTCACAGCACCGCGTGGCTGGATGTTCAGCTCCCAGGCCGCAGGCAGGAGCAGTGCCTTTCCGTGTCTGGTTTTCCGGGGAAACGTGAGTGAGGCGGGCGCTGCGAACCACCCGGCGCTGAGGCCCATGGGACGCGCTGGCCCAGCAGGTGCTGGCTGTGCCAGGGTCACGTCCCTGCCCCACGGCAAGGACAGTGGGAAGCAGACACGGACGGGAAGACATTCTGACTGCTGTTTGGCATCAGGATGATGTCGGTGGAAAGCCAAAGCTCATAAAGCCGAGGACTTTAAAGCTTCCCATTTTCCCCCCTAAGTTCCTAAATTAAGGTGACCAGACGGCCCACTTTTGGCGGGACAGTCCCGATTTTCAACAATTTGTCCCGCGTCCCGCGGCGTTTTTAAAAAAGTCCCGATTTCCCCCCCCCCAAAATCCGGGCTCTCGGCCGCCCCGCCCTACCTGCCGCTGTTGATGACGGTGAGGTCGGACCCGGAGCAGATGTCCTCCACGATGTAGGAGTTCTCCTTGCAGGACACGTTGAGGGAGGTGTAGTTGGGCTTGCACACGGTCAGGAAGTAGGGCGCCTGGTAGCCCGTGGACAGCTGGATGATGTCCGTGATGAGCGCCGTGGAGCACAGGCCGAACACGTGGACACCTGTGTGCGGGCGGAGGGCGGGGCTGTCACCAGGTGGCGGCCAGTGCGGCGCCGGTCACCGCCGGCCTCCCAACCTGCGGCCGTCGCTCCCTCTGTTTCGAGGAGATCATAGAGGGCACCCCTAACTTCTAACCAGACGCCTACGGGCAAGAGAATGGCGGCGAGGATCTCCCAAGGAGCCATGGGAGGGACCGCGGTCAGGCTGGTTCAGTAAGGTCAGTTCCCAATAGCATTCACCTGGGACCCTGTCCCCAGAGGACCGGCAACATGTGAAGATGACATGTGCGGCTCTTTGGCCCTCGAGGGTGGCTCTTTCGCAAAACACCACGGCCCGGGGGAGTCTATTTTGAAGAAGTGGCGTTAGAAGAAGTTTACGTTTAAAAAGTTTGGCTCTTGCCCTAACAGGTCTTGCTCATTGGATAGAACGTCAGCCTGTGGACTCAAGGGTCCCAGGTTCAATTCCCGTCAAGGGCATGTGCCTTGGTTGCGGGCACATACGCGGTGGGGAGTGTGCAGGAGGCAGCTGGTCGTGATCTCTCTCATAGATGTTTCTAACTCTCTATCCCTCTCTCTTCCTCCCTGTAAAAAATCAACAAAATATATTTTTTAAAATTTAAAAAGATAAAAAATGTGGCTCTCACAAGAAGTGTCAATCATTGCACTGTTGATACTTCACTCTGTTGACTAATGAGTTTGCTGACCAGCGGTCTAGGCCCTGATCCAGACCAGACTTCCCCTTCGGTGCGGAGACCGTTGTGTTTCATTACCTACGAGGTGCTGAGGGGCCCGGGCCTGTAAGATGGCAGGTTGCAGGTTCAATAACTTCCTCCTGACTTACTGGGGATGGATGTACCGTGTTCATGTCGGTGCGATGAGCCGTGGCTTCCCTTCCCAACCCACTTACAGATAAAAAAAGACCTGTGACTCAAAGGACACTAAGAGGTTTCCATGCCAACCAGGAGACATGGAGGTGTAGACGCTGATTTGATGCAGAGGCTGGCTAGCCAGGCTGGTGGGTTTTCTGTGGGGCTCGGAGAGCAGAGGAGGGGGACTGAGAAGGGGCAGCCAAAGAGGAATAGTGACGCTGCAGCGCTGGAAGGTGGCACCTGATGGGCAGGACTTTCCCGACAAAGACATTGCAGGACAATCGACAAGGAATCACTGATGTGACCACAGTCATTGCTGAGGAGCCGTTCGTTCCTACTGGCCTGCTGACACGTATTCTCACTTTAAAAATGAACACAGCCCTCGTGCTCACTTCGGCAGCACATATACTAAAAATGAACACAGCCCGGCTGGCGTGGCTCAGGGATTGAGCATCAACCTATGAACCAGGAGGTCACGGTTTGATTCCTGGTTAGGGCACATGCCTGTGTTGCAGGCTTGATCCCCAGTAGGGGGCGTGCAGGAGGCAGCTGAGCAATGATTCTCATCATTGATGATTCATTCTCTCTCTCTCTCTCTCTCTCTCTCTCTCTCTCTCTCTCTCTCTCTCTCTCTTTCTCTCTCTCTCTCCCTTCCTCTCTGAAATCAATAACAATATATTTAAAAAAAAATGAACACAGCCCCAATGGAACCATTTTAAAGTAAACGCATGCTTCCCAGAGCTCAGACAAAAACACGCTGCCGTGCACGTGCTAAATCACAGCCCTCGAGACCGAATGTCTGTCAGTAAACAGAACCCTTCTGTCGGGACCACCGCTCCCTCTCCCCGTGCTCGCACACTCACCGACGAAGCGGACGGCTCTCCTGAGGAAGGAGTTGAAGTTGCAGCCGCCGGCGTTGATGTTGGGCTCCAGGCCCACGCCGCTCCTGCGCTTGGCCAGGCAGCAGTAGAGGATGCCCTCGCCCACCATGATCTGCCAGGAGAGGGGCCGGGCGCCTGGGCTCAGCGAGGCGGCCATGTGACCCGCTGCTCCCGCAGCCGGGCCCCCGGGGCGGGCATCGTGCACTCTCTGAGCTCCTGCCGCCGGCCCAGGGCGTGATGGCATGTGGCAGCACCAGTCCTGGCCCGTTGCTCACCAGCACCCAGTGACTCCTGACTGACAAAGCCCCGGGGGCGGGTTCTGCCCTGATTCCTGAAATCTTGGCCCTTTGCTTCTCTGCCCCGGAAAACAAGATGCCCGCAGGGAGAGTGGACTAGGCACCGGGGAGGGTCAGGAGCGCTTGCCAGCAGATGATGGCAACGAAGCAGCCGGGATGGCCCAGGAGGGTCTCCCCACAGAGGGCATGTGCGAGGGGGAGCAGGGCGCTGCCCGCACAGAGTGGCCTGCGGCCTGGATGCACCCTTCACCCTGTGCCTGCCCACGGCAGGGCCGCTGCCCACTTGTGCTGGCTGAGCACCTGGGGTTCAGCCGCCACAGCTGAGGGGCTCGGTTTTTATCTCATTTCATCGTATTTAATTATTTAAAATGTAAGGCGATTTGGATTTCTTTTATTTTCCAAAGTTCGCCTTCCCTGGGGGATTCTCGTTGGCTAGTTACCCTGGAGTCTGGGCTGTTGATCACTCTGTATGGGGAAGCAAGATCTGAAACCATGAGTTCCATTTATTAAAAAAAAAAGATCTAAAATATTTGGGGTCACTGTGCCTGAGAGGTCGTTGGATTTGCCTAAGAGGTTGGATTTGGGGTCACTGCGCCTAAGAGGTCATTGGATTTGGGGTCACTGTGCCTGAGAGATGGTTGTGAAATTAGAACTGACTTGTGTAAACATGCAGATCTGAGAGAAGTAGGGTACATGAGACCCTTCAGTGTAAGTGGTCATGGCCCTTTAAAAAGATTACGACCGTGGTCAGGGCTGAAATAGATTCTTCCAGGGAGATGTCCCAGTTCCAGGTCTGAGCATACATTTTATGAACTATTTAAGGTGACAGGCTTTAAAGACTCGTGATAGGGACCCCATGGCCTCCTGCTTCCAGTGTTCGCTCTGCTCCGTTTAATTCTGTAGGTTCTGTGGGATCTGCATTTGTACAAAAATCAAGTTCCTTAATGAGACTCTCCCAGGAACCACACGTGTGTGAAAATCATGAGGCACACATGCTAGGCTTTTAAGGTCAATCACAGAGAAATAATCAAAAGGATTTTTTTTCCCGCCCAAATCATTGAGCGTTGAGTTCATTATACATCTTGAAAAATATAATCCTACGTTGTCTCTTTAAGGTAGGCACGGAGACACAGAAGGCTGTGTGTTCTGCCTGGCACCCCACGCGCACGGAGGAGCATAAAGGCTGTCTCGAACCGATCATCGCGAGAAAACCACCCACCCATGCCCGAAACGCATCGCCGTGGGGCTGAGAGAGACTGAGTCATTTTCACTTCTTCAATAACAGTTCTGTGGGTCGTTTTGTCTCTTTCTTTTTAATCGCGTCTGCACTGATGATGCACTTCTCGGCGAATGC